TCTGTTTTGTTGTAGGACTTCTGAGCAGTCAAGGAAAGGTACTATGACCCACAGCATCTAGACTTCCCTATCATTGTTTCGAAAAAATATTATAAACGTATAAAGTTGTCACACTCCGCTCCAGAGCTTCGGCAGTGAGGTACAGTAGGTGGGATAACTCATGAAATGTCAATCGAAATTCAGAAAGGCGTTTTCGTTTCAAAAGGAGTATTGAAGTAGGGTTGCAAAATTAGTTTTTTCGCAACATAATTCAATAATAGTCCAGTTACGTCAGGATGCCGGCTTTCGAGTGAATTTCCGACTGTATATAAAAACCATACTATCTAGAAGATGACTTCTTAAGCAGCATGGATTTTTCTCATTGATTTTCGGTGCCCTCGAAAATTAAGTTATAATTCACGGGAGATATACATACAAACCTTCATTCTTTTGCTCACTCAGTAGAGGTTTACGTCTTCTTTCCATTTTTATGCTCGAAGGAAGGGTATAATTCGGTCTTAAAAAGGTGCTAATCATGAGATTTCCTAATACAGTGAAATAGCTGTTCATAAAACGTCATGTCCCTGCATTTACCAATGTGCCTTGTAAAATTAACATGGCTCAAATCCATCGCTAAATTTTATGAAACCCATGTGATCCCCTTTTACTATCATAGAGAAATATATGGTTTTCCGTGCGCGGAAAATATGCGACTTGTAGTTTTGAAATCCTGAATGCAAGTCGGGTTCAAAATTATTCGGGAATTGGAAAAGTTTCCGAAAACCGAATAGTACCCTTTCTTTGAGCATAAAATTGGAATAAGACGTAAGTGTCTACCGAATGAGCAAAAGAGTGAATATTTTCATGCATGTCTTCCATGACATATAGTTGAATTTTTATGTTCATCGAAAATCAATGAGAAAAATCCATGCTACTTAAGTAGTCATTTTCTACAGACTATGGTCTTTACATGCAGTCGAAAAGAAGTTCATTCGAAAGCCGGCATCCTGTGGTAACTGAATTATTATAGAATTATGCTGCAAGGTGATCAGTTTTACAACCCTACTTAATTAATCTTTTCGAAACGAAAACGTATTCCGGAATTTCGGTTGACATTTCCTGAGTTAGCCCACCTAATGTATTGTCTAGGAATATTGTGAAGAGGTAACTATTTTGTGAGCCCTCTCCAGCAGGTTCTAGTAACATCCGAAGGCCCACGCCCTTTCATAATTTACGATGCACTAGCCCTCGCGAAAATAAATTAGTTTTCCTCTTGCTTATCTTTTCACATTGGTCAACACGAATTGTGTATTTGTGATTTGAACGGCGCACTTCTTGAATAATACTTTAGCCGCTGCAATGACCTACTATTCAGTAGTCTGGTAAGAATACGGTGTGACTTATTAAAAACTGTTGACGTCGAGACTCAACATGCATCAGAATGTTCAGCAGAGTAGCATCACAGTTTATTTTTACTGATTTACAAGTCTACTACTGAGGCGTATTTGTTTCCCTGAATAATGGCTTTGCAAATAACGATCATACTCGTTTACGGAGAGACGTGGTTAAGGTGTGGTTCTGTAGCCTCATCTGATGGACATAATAGTGTTGGATTAGGGTTTAGGGCTGCGGTTAGGGGTTAGGGTTGGGCTTAGGTGACAGGCTTAGGGCAACTATTCTTCAATCATTCAAAGTACAACCGCGCATCCGCAATAGCTTTTCTGCATACAGTTGCTTGACCTCGTCGTCTGTGCATTCCCCAGCTCCACCAGCAAAGACCCCTATTACCATCGGGTCACGCATTACAGGCGGCTGGGGCCACACAACCACATCCGACGGAGATATGTACCCCTATAAGGGGCGACGCGGAAGTTGCGCTGGGCAAACACTGGAGCCACAGTGGGGTACGGTACGCCCTACTGGGCTGCCCGCCCATAACAAATGCCGTACATGGGGTGCGTAGTGGCACGTCCAGACGCAAGTTCATGTCGCGTCAGCCACCTGCGTCCCATCCGGCTCCCGGTTTTCTTGAAATTGTCATGGCATCGACCTTAGGAGGGCAAAAGGAGAGAGTGAGTGCGGCGGACGCTACGCAAATCTACTATCGCTGTAAAATAATTCATGCGTAAGTCACCGTCCATACGCCCACCCTCATGTGGCGCAAACGGTGAGCATCATCGTCAGTCCTATAGAAAGGAATGCGATGATAATAATTTATTGTGAAACTATATTGGAATACAACAGCTGAAAAGTTGTCAATTGCGTAGTTCAAACAGCTTAATACGAGCACGAAGTTTCACAAGCCTATCTCTCAATCCCTGCACTGATCACTTACTTAACTCTACGCAAAGCCGGTTATCAAGTGTAAGACTGCAGCAAGAACTCAAATTCAAAATGTCAGAGAAGGAAAGACAACGTTGTCGAGACCTTGTAATCTTCGCATTACAAAACAGCTGGGGTTGCGTGCAGTAAGCATTTGGTCAACTTTGTGGGACGGCATGCAACGTTCTTTATGCTTGTCAGTGGAAATGCCGTCGTATAAGACTACAAAACGGGATGCACCCTAAATGCGTAAATATGCACCGCACCTTCCTTAAACGAACTGCGACTGTTTACATGCTCAACTGTTTTGGCCCATGCGCTTAGCTGTTCCGCTGAGAACAACTTACGCAGAGTAATGGGACGTCACAAGCCTTGAAGTTGGGATGACGCCAAAAACTTGATCTAGATTGCAATAACATCTCGCTATATCGCGCTTCGACATTCGAGGCTTCACTCTATTGCGGATTTTTCGCTGGTTCGTGGATTTCTGCAGACAATGGGCTTCTCTGATAGTGCATCGGCCTACCTAATACCTAAGAGGATATAAAAGATTTATGATGTATGGCTGTGTGGGAAGTGTTTGTGGCAATGTAGGTGTTTATAAGGGTTTAAAGTATATAAAAATACAGTAAAAGCCTATGGTTTCCACATATCGATTTTTCCCTTCCCGTGGGGGTTGTGAAACGAAACTCACAATCGAGGAGAGATCACTGTACTTCGAAAATTCCAGCTACTTAAAGTGCGCAAGTAGCAAGGTGTCGGCCTAGTAATAATGGGCATAATGGTATATCGTTTGACCAGAGTACTACGTCTAGCATAGCCCAACGACTACTCCTTATTCATGACTGGCTTTTGAAATCATCTACTAGTTGCAATTTGAGAGAGTACATACCATACATGACTGGAATTTCAGGGAAGGTTTTGAAAGAAGTGGAAAAAAACATTTGCACGAACATCTTACTAAACGGGTACGTCCACTGCTTTCCCGTTGAGTAAAGATTCTGCAATATCCCCCTTCCTAGCTGCTGAATTCAGGACGAAGAGTGTGTGCGTTAAAACAGCCAAACCTTTTTGCTAAAAAGTTCGTATGACAAAGGTAGGAGAAGCTGCAACCGCCATAGTAAGTCGCTTCTTTGTGAAGAATAACGCGAGGACTATGACCAACCCGCTGGTTAAAGACCTACCGGATATACAATATCTGGCCTGTCTCATGAAATGCTTACCGACATTTCGAAATGTGTCTCCAACCATAAGAGAATTCATAGGTAGGGTTGTTATCTATATTAACGTGCGGCCTAGTCTCATGCCATTTCAGTCACGACAGTATGCCGGTTTTTGACTATGCTACTTTCCAGTCACCTATAAAGAGCACATCCAGCAAAAAAGTGGTTATTTAAGAGGTATGGATCTTCCCCGTAGATTTTCGACAGCCCTATAAATTCAAATACATACACATGCACACATATCGAGCAAGAACTCACTGCTCTGACAACGAAACCCATCAAACAGAACTGAATTATTTGTTCCAACTGTTTTCCCTCGGATCCATTTTGAGTAGCTCTAGGATCCTTCATGATCTCCCAGTTGTGAGCGGCAGGCAAGTGAGCATTATTTCACATACAGTCATATGAGCGTGTGCAAAGAATGCGGAAACTGTGCTTGTTGAGATTTTTGATACATCTTTCAATGAAGAAGCACTCCCAGTGGTCATTTTCAGCAGTCCACAGCCATTGCAGAAAGCCGTTAGTTTGTTATAGGGGTTATTTATAGGTCTACAGAAAAAACGGCCCGCGAACTCAGTTAATTCCCACTGTCTTATGGGGTTTGAGTGCCAAGTTAAGCTTTGAAACACTGAGGAACAAGTGGATTTTCCGCGCACCTGTTCTTAAGTACGAGCCAGTGTTGGAGGCGATATGTTTAAATTGGTTCTCCTAAAATTCATAAGAAGGTGTAATGGCAGAGTCTAAATAATTCATCTTGACCCAGCCATGAAAAACTCGGTGCCTAGGTGAGATTCGAACCCACGACAGCAAGGGGAAAGCTCTAGTACAGCTAATGCTCTAGACATCTGAGCTATGAGGCCCCACCGGACGACGCGAATCTAATTCCATTTGGGTCAAGTTTGCCCGCCCAACCTACTGCAACGCCTGGATCAACCAAATCTCTTACAGTTGGACGGCCATCCTCCTCACCCGAGGTTTAGTCACTATCAGCAAGGTGGAGTGAGTCATTTGGAAGTTCCTCAAGAAAATCTTCCAAGTGAGTCAGGAATACTGATCGGTCAAAAACACAGCACTGAGAACAGTCACTGCAGATTGGAATTTCAGGTGGTGCCACGACAGAAACGCCAAGACGAAAAGTCCACCGCACTGGAAACGATGCAGTCTATCCTGTGTTGCCTGCGCATTCGCCACATAGGCGTGAAGTCCACTGACAGCCCATTGAACGGTCGCTTACAGAACTTCACACAGTTCGGTCATGACAACTTGCATGCAGGGGCGGTCTCTATGCACTGCTTAGGGTGCGCAGATGGCACAGAAAACGGGCTGAGATAGAACTTGGATTAGATATCTGATGTCCACACGGAGTTTTTCGAAAAATGAGAAAAAAAGACCAGGGTGAGAAAATGGTTCATTTTTTGTGAATACATCTGTACAAAGAATCCTTTGCGGGTGCCAACCCTCTGAAGTTTGAAGGTTTCAAGTTGCAATTCGTCTGCAAAAGACATGAAAAACCAGTTCAGTAACATTCGGTGTCTTGGGGGCGCAGACGACTGACATTTTTGTTGACTTATTATTCAGGGAGTGGGACCTTTTATAAATGCTTAACTGGTAGCATTTTCGAGAGGGAACAAAGTCCTAAATAGACAACATACAGTAGGCGTGTTAACTCATGAAATGTTAACCGAAATTATGAAATCAGTTTTCGTTCCAAAAAGAAGTAGGGTTGCGAAATTAATCATCGTGCAGCATAATTCTATAATAATGCAATTACCTGGAGATGCCATCTTTCGAACAAAATTTTGTCCAACCGCATGAGATGACCACACTGTGCAAAAATACTACTTAAGTAGCACGGACTTTTTCATTTATTTCAGATGCTCTTAAACAATCCAATTATATTTCTTGGTAAACATGTACGAAAATACTCATTCCTTTACTCATCTGACAGGAAATTACGTCTTCAAATTGTATACTCAAAGAAGTGGTACAATTCGGTTTTAAAATTTTTCTAACTCCTGAAAAACTTTTAATGTTACCTCCCGTTAAACTTGCATTCAGGGTTTCCAAACTACAAGCCATATATTTTCCGCGTACGGAAAACCATACATTTCTCTACGGTATTAAGAGAAGAGCATACGGGATTCATAAAATGTAGCAGTGGATTTGAGCCATATTGTCGACTGTACAAGCCGCATTGGCAAACGCAGAGACATGACGTTTTATGAATGGCCATTTCACGGTATTAAAAAATCTCATAATTAGAAACCATTTTGAAACCTAATTATACTCTTTCTTAGAGTACTGAATTGAAAGAAGACGTTATTTTCTACCAAACGAGTGAACGGATAAATATTTTATGCATGTTTACCATTAAATATAGTTGGATTTTTAAGGGCATCTAAAATAAGTGAGAAAAATACATGCTAATGAAGTGGTAACTTTTTACAGTGTGGTTTTCGCATGCGGCCGGAAAGAAGTTTGTTCGAAAGCAGGTATCTCGCGGTAACTGGATTATTATAGAATTGTGCTGCACGATGATTAATTTTACAACCCTATTTGAGTAGTCCTTTCGAAACTAAAACACATTTCGGAATTTGGGTTAACATTTCATGAGTTAGCACACCTACTGTGGACGGTACCGAAATTATGAAAACCCTTTGTCACAGATGGTGAAATTCATGGGTTCTTCTGGTGCTTGTACACCGAAGCTTGCCTACTGGCCTGATAAATTTGAAGTCAAAACTCAGCGGCTAGTCAGTAAGGCGCAAGGCAAACTATGGGGCTGTACAATTAATGACACCGGCATGGCGAATGGCTGAACATCGACAGCTTACAAAAACGTCAAGTGATTTGTGCGATCCACGCCAAGAAACAAACAAGACGTGATTTTTACAGTGACTGTCCCATCTGAAGACACGCCACTGGGCGTCCTTGGAGTTCTGGCCACCCAGGCCCTGCGTAACAAAGATTAGAAGCCGACACAAAGATTTTCGTGGACAGAAAACGGCGCGAAAGCCGAACCACCTAATCACTTGCGTCAGTGAAAAGCAGGCTTGACGGAAAGAGTCAGAAAATGTCCTAAAGTGAGCGGCCATCAGACAAAGGGAAACCGACGCATGGTTGAGCCTGAGGCAATGCGACGGTTGAATTCTACTCTAAGTCGAACAACTCTTCAACTTCTACATGATCGTGGAAGTCCCAACTAGTACCCGTAGAAAAATTAACTATATAAGGTCAATCCTTAAAAAAACGAAGCCAGAGTCCACAAGCTCACTCAGAACTCAAACTGACACAGCAAGCCCTGGACGCCAAACACACTTTCTAAGGTCTAGTCAGTCTACTTACTGCCGCCAATGAGAATCTGGGAGGCGGATGCATACATCGATCTGAACCCTTGCTGGGATGGCAAAACTTTGCTTCTATTGGACGCACTAAGCCTCTGAGAGCTTTAGCGTACATAGTACGCAGACATTGTAAACGGTGCAAAGCCTCCCCTTCTGGCCGGTCTGTATCGTGGAGCAGTTGGTGAGTATGGGAGGTTTAAATGAGAGTTTGGACTCACCTGTCGAGAGAAACAGGCTCAGGTGCACTTTCGCAGCTGCCCTTGCCTCCAACCTTTTTAGGCATCGTTTTAAGAACTGGGGGTGCCTTCACGACCTCGCCAAACTTCACAGTATCTGAGCAGTGAATAAATGGACAAGAGGAGGGGTGAATAAAAGGTGCGTCTGCAGAGGGAAAAGTGTAAAAACCCCCGCAACACCTGGCTAGGAGACCATCACCAAATTTAACAAAGCTCCTTTGTAGTTGGGAATAGAATGACTAGCAGCGAAGCGTCTCTGACAAAACCAGGCATGATATGCAACTTGGGAAGTAGGACGAGTTCATAAACAACCATCTACTTAGAAATGATGTGCACACACGCAGGCTTGCTGTGGCAACCGGATGTGCTTCAAGCTGGGCTCGGCTTCCAAGGACGTAGTGATGCCTATCGGCGCTAAGATCTTCACATTCTAGTCGCATAGCTAAGGTAATTAGCACACTTAATCAAGGGCTCGAGGGAGATTGATTATTTCTTCAGATATGCCCCCCAAACGGGCCACACGGTAGATGCGATGGACCAACACGGGGGCCATATCAGATTCTGGCAGGCCTTATGAGATTGCACACCATAACAAATGCCAACATTTCGGAGTGCGGTGGCAGACCCGGTTGCTGGCGTACGTCGCGCACACTGGAAACCCTGTCACCTCCCCCCCCCCCCCATTGTTTTGAATCAAAAACCTGGTTATTTGTCGCGTGGACCAGGTGTGGAGTGGAGCGCCAAGGTGCGGGCTCGACCGTGCCATCCACCTGCGCCCTCCCCCGCCTCCGGACTTCTTTACTCTGTCTTGACACCGGGCCTATGTGGGGGGGAGGAGGAGGGGAGAGTGCAGTAGATGCTGCGGAAGTCCACTACCACTATAAACTCACGTACAAGTCACTGTGCCTACTCTCAGCTCGCTGCGGAGTACACGGTGGACATCGTCGAAACCGACGGTCGAACACTTATGCCTTCGGATACTTCAAATACTGGATTACAGGGAGGTAGCTAAAACAGAGGATCGCAAGACAGGGAATTAAAACGTAGCCGGCTTTCCGTGTTTCAGGTACTAAACTGTTAGACAACGTTTTAAAGCTTATTTACTCATCCATGAGGAAGTCAACAAATAAAGGGTAAACTTTTCGGGTCAAAACACGTGATGAATGAGGCCAAAATAGTCTGCCGACCCCTGTAAAAAAAAGCCTGCTTCCCATCAATCCTGTAATATGTTAGCACTAATGGTCCGGTTTCCACTCCGATGTCATGAAATCGGTCTCAGAGAATGTCTCGGCAAACAAGCAAGCAACGCTGACTAGCAAGTCAGCAAAAGAGCAGAAGGGGGGCAAACATGCATGAAATGACAGAGTAACCAGAAAAAGGCCAGCCTATGACAGTTTTGAACGAACCTACGAGATGTTCGAAACCCGTCAAGCGCTTCTCATGCCGGAACTGCTTCTTCACTGTCTTCTTCTCGGCCAGACGTCTAAACATAGGAGGGAAGTAAAGAAGAAGCTGAGAGGTAGGACTCTACTTTAATGCCCTCTTTGCCTTTTTCGACTTGTACGTTTCGGGATCTGCGAGCGGTGCCTACAAAGGCCGAGCAGGTGTCAGGGCCAATGAAAACAGGTGCAACATACGTTTGCCCTCTTGGCGAGCTTCACTTTCAGCAGTTCTTCTTGCGCTGCCCGCTCCATTCGGCGAGAAAATGCCTCCTCAGACTCCTTTTTGCCGATTTGCGGTGGTTTCGTAGGTCGGAACTTCTTCATGCCTTTAGTGTCGCCAACGTCTGGACAGAAAAGGAACTGAGAAGTACAAAACGGCGCTTACCTGGGTCCAGACGGAAAGGATGTCGGCTCTCAATATTCCGCTTCAACCACATCATCTCACGAAAACTAGCTGGAGGCTTCTGCTCGTCATCGTCGAGCGGGTCTAGATTTACATCATCACCTCTAAAGACTACAATGTCTGACCGGTAAGGAACCTTACTCTAAATTCGCAGAGAGAGGCGGCGGAATGTTTTTGAGCTTTTTGTGTTTGTTGGTTTTGACACGTCGGGTGTAGAGCACGGGACGAATGGGTTCGGGCTTCTGTTTTTTCCTTGCCTCTTGTTTGAGCTTAGTTCGACGGATCCCAAATTTCTTGGCTGGAATAAAACTAATCAACGTGGCAGGAAAACCTACTCTGCTTTGCTCTTTTCTTCATTCTGTTAGAAAACCGGCGTGAATCTAAGAAGAAGCAGGAAAATCCTGAGTGAGTCCCCCGGAGGAAACATTATCAGAGGCAACCTTCCGAAGCGGAGGAATGACTAGGGGGCAGTATACTAGTGACAGAGCAGGGACTCCGTTTACGTAAAGCGAATTTAGCCTCTAGCTGATTGAAAAGCCATTATGAGATGTGCTAAAGATGTGTTAAAGATAATTCACCACCTGACCTAACTACTTCAACATGTTACAGGCCCTGTTTTTCCTGGTCAGATAACTTCAAAGTCAACGCAAAAGGACGGAATTAAGAGGCACGAAAGTCACCAATCCTCTTTGTTACCGCTTCAACCAGTCACCCAGGCAGCGGAACTCCTGTTAATCTAACTGGCGGCTATCTGACACCTCTACAGATAAGTAAAGCTGGTTGAGAAGTAAGCGGGCTGTCTGGTCTGACGAATAAACGGTCGTGGACGGATATCGACAGTGCTATCAAGGTGCGGTGGGCTATGATCTGGCAGGCCGACTGCCTTATAAAATTCCATGGTACGGCAATCATAAACCACCATGAAGTAAGTCTGGTTGCCCCGCTGTCTCGTGACTGTTTACTTAAATAGGTAGAAGATATAAACCCCGAACAAATAACTTGAGCGGCTGTTGGGGGCACGTCAGTACCTAAAATTCCCAAGAAACCTCATAAAGAAAAAATCGATTCATGTATTGCAATGCATGCAATGGCGTCTGCTGCAAACAACGCATTCCCCAACCCCGATTCAGTGATTCGGCAATGCGAGACTGCTCAATCGGGAACGGACTCTTGCTATAGGATGGTGGAACGTGTTAACGTTCCTGGACTCTGGTATGCAGTCTACCGGCAGGGAGTCTTCTTCAGTACAACATGTATGTCTGAAGAATGAATCCTCGATCCAGACCGGCAGAGAATCGAGATACTAGAGGTCAATCCCAACCTCACTTTACATCACGGCGCTCCACGCGACTCCTACGGTGGGTACGGTGGGGCGACTGTCCTCTCGTAACAAACAACACACTGTTTGAGTGGGAATCCGCCAAGGACCGACTGGCTTACGTAGGTCCTACAGGATACTTTTCTTATACCTTTGTCATCTTTATCTACGCAGTAACATCGGCTGTCAGCCAGCACGACAGATGGATTTCTTACTCGAGCTAAGAGAACCGACTGACGGACTTCCTCGATGGGATCAACCGATTGTTAGGGAAGGGGATGTAATGGTCAAGGTTGGTCAGGATGCTCCGAGAAATAACCTTATTGGCTGTTTGGGCCTTGTTCTGATGCGATAATTTTGGAAAGCTTAATTTTGCCGACTAGAATCAGCCCGTCGACATCAACGCGTGCTTTCAGCATCGCCGAAGGCATCCACTGGACCGGTATTCACACGATGGTTTACGGCCAGCCAGATTAACTACATTTTAGTCGGCTCGAGACCCAGTATATGGATTCACGATAACAGGTCGATCCGTGATGCCGAGATTGGCAACAGCTAGGGGTCAGATCCTGTTCTTGTTCGCACACTTCTGAGAGATATCTAGACTGAGACGCATTCTTGAGTCCCGTAATGGCCACTGGCAACCGATGTCAGTGCTTCCTGACTTGGCCGCACCGTTCGATTCAGGTTATTGTGTCCGTCCAGCGGATCGTGAAGCCAGACGGTGTGCTTGAAAACACATTCATCGCGAGCGGGTCCTACTGTCGCTCCACCACCACGCGAGTTCTGATTCACAAAGCTCTCCCAACTGTTTGATATTCGGTTCGGAATTCGGATAAATTTTACTTGTTACGCATCCTCTCCAGTGACTGGGTTCTCGGAATAGCCATACTCGGCAAGGACAGTGTCAAACCTGACCCAGGCGTCAGCTGACCGGCTTTGAAATCTCATCCTATTTGTACCAAGGTCTGGTGACCGACAGCATTCGGCGTCGTGAGCGAGCTAGGTCACTGGATCCGACGGTTTACTCACCAAAGCGGTGGAGACCGGTGTTTTCGAGATGTTTGGCAGGCCAGAAGAAGGATTGAAGGTGTGGACAGCTTCAGAAGCCTGGAGGTCGGACTGATGCCAAGCGGGCTGAGTAAGAACAGTGTTCTGGTCCGAATCGATGCTGTTGGCAGGGCTTCAACAGTTCTCAGAAAGTATCTATGGACTAGCTGCAATATCTCACTCGAAGCTAATGTCCGAAAGTGTCGTAAATCTGTTCAATTAGTCATTAAGCATTGTATTGGACTATAAGCTGAGCGGGTGGGAGGCGTGCGAAAACTGTTGGTGTGTGACTACCTTCATCAGACGATCGCTCTTCTAATAAAACGGACCAGCTTCCCCTCGAATGGGATAGTCTACACTCTGCACGACAATACTGCCAGGATATTTCCAGTCATTTAAGAAGACAGTCGGGTTTTTTGTCGTCTGTCCTATGAAATCAGCGTTGCTGTCCTTGATCCGGAGCCGGTGTCCACCTGAAGGTATCAGTGAGAGCTCGAGTTAAAACCTGTCTCAACACAGTTTTTCAAAACATGGCTGTTTGGGGCCTTCGGTATTCGGCCACCGTCACTGACAGAATGAGACGACTTCTCCAGATCCGCTGCAACAGGGGTAAAATTCACAGGCAGTGACGGGCCTAAATGCAGTCGTACCAGATACAAGTACAAAAGTGGACAGAACACGAGAGTTTGCCATGCAGTGTCCATGTCTTCCACGTGGATTGCCGTGGAAGGGGCATGGTGACCTTCACAGCGCCGCCGACTATGGCGACGCCACTGTAATTTCTACGTTCCTCCTCGTCCCACCTCACAAGAAACGGGGGTAGGACATCATTGCTGTAGTTGTTTGGGACAAATCGAATGTTCCACACTTGCTAATCACCTTTTCAGAACATTCCCAGCCGGCTTTGTCTTCTTCCAGGCAGCTCTGTTGCTTCGAAGGCTGTAAATAACTATTTCAATTTCGACAACTGGGCGATCAGCAACTGCAACTGCAGCAAAGGTCACATCAGACGTATCCAAGGAGGTCTGATTAAACAACTCATAGAAGTTCTCTTGCAAGTCCGGCAATCGCTCGTATAATGACGTGATAGGGAGGTTCTCTCTTGTTTTGACCGTTCCACTGGCCACCAAACTGTCCTTTAACTAATGCTAGGGATGTTCATAGAGTCTTCTTGTGACGTCGGTGTTGGCTGCTTGTCCGAATTCCCATGCTAGTTTCTGATACTGTCAACTTCGGTTGGCTCTCACTGTCCGTGTTGCCCGACGACGCAATCACCTGATGTTTTGGACCCCGTGATTCGAATGGTCCTTTTATCTTCTGTTTTAGGCCTCAAACCGAACTCTTTGTAACTAAAGTGCTGCCCGACGGTTCTACGACGCACAAAGCGTGCTCGCTCTTCCTGCATGGCAAAAGGCTGGAGGTGTATAATATTGTTGCCTACCTCGGGTCCCCTCTGGTACCAACCTGCCAGTGTCAAGAGGAGATAAACTGTCGCGTGCAACTCGTGACTTTGAAAGGAGCTCTGGACACGCCTCGAGGTCAGACAGATGACAAAGATTCATGTGTAAAAGAGTGCAACAAAAGCCTCCTGCTTTATGGCTATGAAGCGTTCACGTCACGTGCTAATAATCTTAAGATAACAGAGGCTTGCGGTACATGTGCTTTCCAAGAATACTTCCACTTCAGCTCATGTGCCAGGTCTCCTATGTTCAAATGGACCGCCGATAAGGGACCCTTGCAATCGGTACAATCGAGAGTCTCCGTCTTAGACACTGACCTGCTCCGCCGCACCCCAGGGAGGGTTATCCGCGGCGCCATCTAAGCAGTTTGGTGCCACAGCCGTGGTGTTTGGGAATGAAACGTCGACTACACAACGTTTGGTGAGTTCGGTGGGTAATTTCGGAACACTAACCATGTTGACCCATTATGCTATTGACCCTGAAGCCGGCTGAATCGAATCAACTCAAACAGTTGCATGTATAAGTAATTGCGAAATACACTTAAATTAGACAGGTTATTGGGCGTGTCCCTGTCCGAAGTCGCGGAGAAATGAGGGCAACAGAACATGCACAAGTTGTGTAGCAGCAGAGTGTACTACTGTGAATGGAATAGCTAACATAGGAACGCTTGTGATAACGGGAGTTAGGCAAACTTCTATACAATGCCATCAACGCCTGGAAATGTTAGTCGAGACTGTGGCCGGACTCCGCATGTTCGCCCACTAAGCAGCGTCTTGATTCGTCACGCAGAATGGTAAAACCTTCACCCGCCTACTCCAAACACAAACATCACACGGCTTGTGCACACTCTTATAATGTCTATTTAATCATATGAAATAAAAGAGAAAACTACTGCTCGATTCCCTATCCGCTGCTTCTTTGAATATGTATTCCAAAAACCAAAAGTGGTTCGCTGGCGGCATATTGTATTCTTTAATTCATGGTTACTAAATTGTGGCTGCTCTCATACGATGAGAATATTTTCCCAAGATTTTTCTACAATTCCGGATTTTTGTCACCATTTGTGCAATTTATGCCCAGCTTCGTAGGTACTGAATGCGTTTAATCAAATCCAGGTCCCTGGTAAACACAAAAGTACTGAGGTTGGGTTTTCGTACACATACAGATAACGGTAGAAGAGAGGAAAAATACGTAGGGGTCTTCGAAATTTCAAGTTTCCCTCATGTAACATTCTAACGCAGGTTCCTGAATGAACCGAGTTTCGGTGTTTTGGACATTTTTGCAGAATTAGTTGAGCAATTTTCAACAGATCATATCGGCCTGGTAACAATTCGATATCGTGACGAAAGCGACTCTCTGTAGAAAAGTCAACTACAAGCAGTGGACTTCTACGAGCACATATGACAAAGCTGATTATTCTTACATATAGTTGAGCTAAAAATAGTTTTAAGTGTTTGGTGTGCGGACCCAGCACTGTTATGGACCAATAAACCCGCTCAGACACCCGTTAAAGCTGCGCACTCAGCAGGCAAGGCTGGATGTGCGGAAGTTCTCCTTCTCTGTTAGAGTGGTCAAACCATGGAATGCCCCACCCGCAGATGTTGTGATGTCACCATCAATCCAAGGCTTACAAAGAATCTAGACATATTTATGTGCCGAAATGACCAAGAGCGATGAGAAGTAGAGCTCACCCCCTGTAACTCGTTCCCATTTTGTCCTACCATTATGGGCTTGTTTAAACTATTTCAGCCCAGAACATTTTTCTGAATACCACACATTTTTACGTTGCAAATAGGGTACTCAAAGGCTTACGCCTACTTCCCTCAATAAACTGAACATAACAAAAACAAATGAGCCCCATATACCCACGAGTCTCAGTTCCAGAACAACTTACATCGACTTTCCGCCTCTACTTCAGTCAAGTAAAATCAAACCGCGAACAGGTCCAGTTCAGTTTTGTTTATTTTTGGAGAAGTTGATGTTCCTTTTTAAAAACCCTATTTGTTACACTCAGTGGAAGTGTGCGAAAAAATGGAAAGGGATTAACACTAAACAATTACAGAGAAAATATCAAAACCTGCGATGACAGCATCTGATGGCGTGTGTACTTACTTGGGTGCGTAATGCAGTAGCTTCTTGAAGTACACCTAAGCTACAGGGAAGGCATTAGGATCTGCGGTCAGCAGGCGTCGTGGTGTAACAGCTCACGATCTGTAGAGGCTGTTCGAACGAAGAGGCACTCTTTGGTGCGCGGACCTGGAATTGTGATGGTGTAACTACGTTTCGGTAAAAATGGCCTTGTCCTTTACTCCCACTACCGCCAACCCCCTTCCTACAACTCGCCATAACGCCCGAATCTCTTTCTCTACGTCTACATTGTCCTCGGTTCTCTTTCGCAGTTGCTGACAGCACTACATTCCCCACCGTTTGTTAAGTTGACATTTCAGTATCGCCTCACATTCCAGACAGGGCACTTCCTTGTTCTAACTCATCCTGTTTTTACAATGAACCCCTGTTATATGTGTTCTCAGTTTCTACCTCTTCCGATTATATTTTATTGCCTACCTAACGTTTCTCCTTCCCTTGCGTATGGACGAGTATTGCGACATGTTAACTGCTCTATTCGGATCGGTCTTAGCCAGGATCTATTCCCAGTGCTTCGCTATCTCACCGTGAGCTACCCTTCACGTCGTCGGCTGTTACAACGGTAAATGAGGGTTGTGCTGTGCGCCGATGTTCATGCCTTAATAAATTATGTAAACAAACGTCATTTAGTGATTTGAAGTAGTATCGTAACGGCGATGACTTGGTAACGTAAGGTATCAAGACGATAGCGCTCAGACGCCGTCTTGGTCCGCCTTTCTTTTAAAAGCTTCTGTGGATGCAGACATAACAACCTACTCAGACAAAACATTCCAAGCCTAAATACCCCTGTTTTTAGAAGAGCTTTCATGTGTCTTTCAAGGCACCAGTTACACGTATCTCGAGTAGGTAGCCTCTTAGGTTGGTCGTAGTCGCCAACTCAAAGATGTCTTCAGATACGAGGCGGCAGTCCTGACTGCACATGATGCAGAAAGCTCATATGAGTTCGCCTCGTAACTGCTCGTAACCTAAAGGAAAGATGTCGAGATTAGCTAATCGCGTTTTATAGGGTAGTGAGCCCTGTCCAGCTACAAGTTTGGTTGCCTGTCTTGGATATATTTCGCGTAGGCCGAGGTCCTTGGTGGCACTGGGTTTCCAGGCTTGTATAGTAAAATCCAGACGAGGCCACACTAAAGTTCGAAAGACTTTAACGAAAGAGTCTTAAGCGAAGGAAGAATGTGTCCGTTTGACGAGGTACAGTATAGACGTCGTGGGTTTGGACTACCATTGGACAGTGCAGCGTAGAATTGAGTGAAGTTATGATCCACGCGCTAAAGTTCTTCTGGGTGTCCTCTCCTTGAAATAATGCCCGTCAAGCGATGGATCATACAATTTGGGGAATTGGCTCCGCCATCGTGTATGAAGTTACTCTTATTTGCATTAAACAGTAAGAGTCAGTCCTTCGACTATTTCTTGAGTCGGTTCAGGTTTGCCTGCAATCGCCCTTCGTTAACTTCATTTCGTATGGTGGTCCAGATCCATATATCATTGGCGAACATTGCGACATCGCAATTAAGTTCGTAAGTGCGGTCGTTAATGTATATAACGAACGGAGTGGGCCAAGAACACAACCGTGGGGAGCACCACACTTGACGACAACCTCCACGGACTGCTGATAACTGAAATAGGCGGTTTGATAAGCGTCAAGTAAACGGTTTGAATCCACACCAGAAGCTTACCTCGTACTCCTACGCTGTTGAGTTTGTAAAGGTGATGGGGATTCAAACCATCGAAGGCCGCCGAAAAGCGAGCCGACGAGTGAGGTCAAGGCGCGCAGCTCAATTTCAAAGATAAGTGAAGATTTGCATTTATCTGGATATTCTTATACAATTAATGCCTGTTTTTTACTTGACTCCCTTTTAAAAGTCGCCCTTCAATATAAGGTAAATTTTTTCCCAGTTTTGTTTGATAGTTTGGCAAAATAGTCGTATTTTGTAAAAAAAAAACTTTTGTAGTGACTCCTTTCCCTACTACCTCTTTCTAGTTTTCGTAGTTAAATAACAATAGTACTTGCTATTCAGTGCGCCTTTCCGTACGTTGGCAAAGTTTTGATCTTTCTTCTGTAACGATAAACTTACCTTCTCTGTAATGCCCGCAGAGCACGTGCTAAAAGGCGAAAGCTTGCGGCCTCCCCACCGTCTCTGGGCGCAAAAATCGTGACTGAAGACATAGCAGGTGCCAGCGTATTTTTTTCGCCGTCCGCAGATCTGATTAACTCACAAATCCCTTTAGTACATGTAGAACCTCTTGACGCTTCAGTCGTCCAAAAATACGCCACTGCTAGTCGTAGCAGGCCATCAGCCGGCGAAATAGTCGACCAGTTGATTTATGGCGACATAAACAGCACTTCTGAAAAAGTAATTGAACAAGCTGTTAAACTTAGTGGGGTAATAAATTCGGAAACTGAGGAAAGAATTAAACGCAAGAGTAATTTCCTACAGCGAAACATTCCGAGCCACTTATCTGCTATGGAGGGAACTCATTTGTTCCTACAAAGCTGTGGCTTGAGTTTCAGTGTCGCACAAGCTAAGCGACTTCGCTCTCTTAGCCGTAATGCACCGATACAAGTTACCCTATTCGCCATGATAGAAGTCGATTTTATCTTGTCGAGTAGGGACATAACTAGAGAATTCTGCCATAAATGGCGCTGCTCCGTTTCGCCAGACCTCACACCCCTGCAGCGAAGACTGAATAAATTAAAATCGGCAAAAATCAACACCTAGATAATGACACCTACTGTCAGTCTGAATAAGTCCTCTACAACACCATCTGCGGCATCTGCATATCACGGCATAGTCAATTCCGTAGGGAATTCGACTACTTTTAATGCTGAGCTCTATAAACACCCCATCACGCCTGCGGCATCTGCACATCCCGGCATAGTCAATTCCGAAGGAAATTCGACTACTTTTAATGCTGAGCTCTTTAAACACACCATCACGCCTGATATAAACACGCCTCTGTCGACTCCCCCAGCAACCTCTAGTAAGCCTAAGCATGTGTCTAAGTCAAAGGCAAATCCAATTGCTGTCTCAGCCAATCGGACACCCGATAAATCGAGCAACATCATAAAATCTTTTCCTCCACAATCGGCTAAAAGTGCCTCAAATACCCCGACTCAAAACGTAGCGTGTTCCCAACGGCACCCCAGCCCTCATATCGAGGCAGTTAGGCCGAATATGCCGATTTTCCCGCCGTTTAATAAAACTCTTGCTCCAATGAAAACAATGCGTCCCCCACCCCCTAACATGTTTCCTCCACAGCCGTTCTACCAATGTATTCCTCATGCTAATGTCTATACTGGATCAGTTAACTCGTCCAATCCTCAGTTTCGTTCCGGCGGGAATGTGTTGTGGTATCTGCCCCGCGGATTTTCAGCTGAAAATAAGTTAGCTGACAATGGTTATCAGTTTAACTGTCCGTCATTCCCTCCCCCAAGTCCTACCCCTTTTTATCCACGTCAGAATTTTTCGATGCCACAAAATTTTTTGCAGAACCGGATGGTTGCATCCGGACCGTTTGCTCCGTGGGCAGCCCAGAACTGGACGATGTAGCCCAGTTCCCCCAGAAACTAACAGCCTTTTTCCTCAAACTTTTTGTTTTAAATGGCAGATCCTTGCTTAATAAGATGCCTTTGCTTCAGACTCTGGTGTTCGTCCATTGTCCACATATTGTTTTAGTAACTGAGACGTGGGCATCAGCCTCAGTAGCTGACTCCGAACTCTCGCTTCTAGGCTATAATTGCATTCGAAATGATCGCCAAGATAGCCGTGGTGGGGGCAGCTGCGTCTACGTAAAGCAAACACTTACATTTTTGTCTTTGGATCTCCCGCATTTTTCCGCAGTAGAAGGCAGCTGCTGGCTCCAGGTTGCCCTAAAATATAAGTTCTCTTTACTCTTTGGCTGTGTCTATCGCCCTCCCAACGCCAACGACAATTTCGATCGTTTACTCTCACAGGCATTTCATGCTGCGGCCGACTCAAGCTTTAAGTATCAATTGGTTGCGAGTGACTTTAATCTCCCCGAAGTCCGCCGGTCTCCCCCCTCAGGCCCCAGAAGGTTCGAAGACTTTCTTGAGGCTGTGGATGTTGGGATGTGGACTCAGGTTGTCGATTTTCCCACCCGAGGATCAAGCATACTTGACCTAATTTTCTGTAGAGGCTGCATGCCATCGTCAGTGTCATCGCTAGGCCCACTGGGGGGCTCAGACCATGACATAGTTGTTTCAACATTGGACTCCGAGGCTTACAAAACGTCTTCCCCAAAGTATAACTTTTTCCGCGATTTCCGATCAACTCGCTCAACCGAATTACTAGCACACCTTAATTCCTGCGACTGAACTGATTTCTTCCTTAGTTCGGATGTAAATGTTTGCACTGCAAATCTGTACGAAATTTTGGATCCGCTTATTTCTCGTTTTGTCCCCCGTAAGAAGATTATTACTGTTGGGGATGCGGTTTTCCTACCCTTACCCTTTCGTTGCAGATTGCGCAGGCTTTATCGTCGTTTCCATCTTCAGAACGATGTTTCTGTCCAGTCCTTGATTTGTGATATTTTTCATCGAGCTAAGAGATTGTCTGAAGAAAAACAGCTAGCCGAAGAGGTCCAGTTTACCGAAAACCATTCGTTAAGTGTCTCGAAACTTTTCTCTAGAAAAATACGAACTCAGAGAAAGACGCAGTATCCCATCCTTCGAGACGA